TCACCTGTCTTCTTTAAGATTTGGATTCAGTATTTATGATTCCATTTTATTTTCACATTTATTTTAATTATTGTATCTCTTTTTAAATTCTTTTTGGATATTTCTCTAGAGTTTACTATATACATCTGCCTGTCTTAGTTTGTTCGAGCTGTTAAAACAAAAAAGCGTAGATTGGTGGATTACAAACAACAGTTTATTTCTAAAAGTTCTGGTGACTGGGAAGTCAAAGATTCAGGCACTGCCAGATTTGGTGACTGAAGTTATTGAACTAGTCATAGTGAGGGCCTACCTTTTGATTCATAGATGGCAATCTTCTCATTGTAATCTCACAGAGGGCAAGCAGCAAACAAACTCYATAGGGACTCTTTTTTTTTTTTTATAATAACTGATTCCTTTGATGAAGAAAACATTGACCTAATCATTGCCTACCCCCACCCAGCCCTATCTATAAATACTACCACATTAGAATTAGATTTCAATATTTAGGGTTTTGAGGGGGCAGAATCCTTTGTAATATCTTTAACTTACTATGTTCTACCTTCAAATAGGATTAAACTTTATGAACTATATTTTTTCAATCTCTTTGATCCATCCTTTGTGTCATTGATGTACATTTTACTTTTACATACATTTTGTGTGCTATAATAAATGATTATATTTGTCTTAAAGACATTACAAGTAATAAAAATGTACTTTAAATTTACCTTCATTTTTACCATTTCTGGCACTCTTCATTTCATTTTATAGACCTAAGTTTCCAATTGATTTCTTTTGGCTCAAGAATTTCCTTATAACATTTTCAGCAAGCTGGTACTTTAAGCTTTTGTTATCCTGAGAGTCTTTAATTTGCCTTCATTCTTGAGAGATATTTTTACTGTGTATATAATTGATACTTTTTTTCCTTTGAGTATTTTTTAAGATATCACTCCATTGTTCTGGAGAATTCTGCTGTAATTCTTGTCTTTATTCCTCTATGACATAATCTTATTTCCTGTGACTGCCTTTAAGATGTTTTCTTCATTTTGGTTTTTAGCATTTTAACTACAATGAAGATAAGGGTATGGATTATTTTCTGACCTTTTTGTGTGTGTTGCTGGTGTTCTAACCTAGGACTGTGTGCTTGCTAGGTAAAGTCTACCACAGAGCTACAACTCTAGTTTTGTTGGTGGTCTTTAATATATGGCACACTTTACATTCTTTCAGTAGTAGGTTCCTGTTACCTTGTGCTTGGAGTGTGGGCATTGGATGCAGTATGATTTTTTTATTTTTCCATCTCTTTGGACTTTGGCATCTCTCCCTACCTTGTTATACATGTGTGGATTTTTAGTGTATTTTGCTTGGTATTTTCTGAAATTCTTGCATGTGTGAGTTGTTGTCTTGCATTATTTTTGGAAGGTTATTCACTGATACTTTTTCAGATATTCCTCTGCCTCACTCTTTTTCCTTTCTCCTTCTGGGATTTGAATTACATGTATTGTTTTACAGTTCTTGAAGGATTCTTTCTCTTTTTAAGTCTTTGCATGCATGTATGGGCTGGTTTTAGTTTGGATAACATCTGTTGATCTATCTTCAAGTTCTCCAAACCTTTCTCTAGTTGTGTCCAGCTTACTGATGAACCCATTTTAAGAATTCTTTTCCATTGGCTGGTGCAGTGGCACACACCTGTAATCCCAGTGGCTCAGGAGGTTGAGGTAGGAGGATTGCAAGTTCAAAGCCAGTTTCAGCAACAGTGAGGCGTTGAGCAACTCAGTGAGACCCTGTCTCTAAATAAAATACAAAATAGGGCTGGGGATGTGGCTCAGTGATTGAGTGCCTTGAGTTCAATCTCCGGTAACCCCCCCCCCCCCAAAAAAAAAATTCTTTACTATTATTTTGAAGGGGCAGTATTGTGGATTAAACCTAGGATTGCTGAGCAAGCACTGTAACTCAGCTACAGTCCCAGCCTGGAATTCTTTATCTTTGATTGGATTTTTTATTTCTGTTATTTATCTTTGTCTCTTTCGTATAATTTCACATCTCCTTTGAAATTTCCCATCTCTTTATGCAAGTTGTCCAGTTTTTTTTCTGCTGGCCTTTAACGTTAATCCTGATTATTTTAAAGTTTTTGTCTGATAGTTGTAATACCTGAGTTATTTCTCAGTTGGGTTTTGTTGGTTGCTTTATCTCTTGATAGTGGGGTTTCCCCTTGCTTTTCTATGCCTTGTACTTTTTGACTCTGTACCAGATACATGATGTTTAGAAGAATAGTGGAGATTTGAAGTAAATAGTATTTGTACTTGTAAATGGACAAGTATCTTTTTCTCTGGCCTTTAAAAATATATATATATATATATATATATATATATATATATATATATATTTATTTATTTATTTATTTATTTTTAATGTGTGCTGAGGATGAAACCCAGGGCCTCGCACATGCTAGATGAGCACTCTACTGTTGAGCCACAACCCCAGCCCTTCTCAGGGGTTTTATATGTTTCAGTGGGGGTCAAGTCAGTCTGTCCACAGTTTAACTGAATTTGAGTTTTGTTGGTGGTCTTTAATATATGGCACACTTTGCATTCTTTCAGTAGTAGGTCCCTGTTACTTGCGCTTTTGGAGTGTGGGCATTGGATGCAATATGATTTTTTCATTTTTCCATCTCTTTGGACTTTGGCATCTCTCCCTACCTTGTTATACATGGGGTTCTATCAGTAGAGTGCTGTTTGTATTCAGTGCAAAGTTTTTTTTGTTTTTTTTTTTGGTAAGAGGTGAGGGTTTTTCTCTGTTTTGTTGGTCCAGCCTCAATCATACGTAGGCTCTTGAACTTGGGGGTAGGACTTTTTCAGTGCTTCTTTCCCTCAGCCAAACTAACCTTGTATTTGTAGTTGCTTTTGAATGGGAGTGTCTCCCACTTCCCCACTTGCAGCAGACCTTTTGCATGGTGTTAATATAGAATGCTGAGCCCAAGTAGTTTCTATATCACCTCCACAGAAAGGCTTTCCTCCAGTACCAGTAGATCTTTGTGTGTATCTTGGGTTTCCTATTCCTCTCTAGAGACAAAAGTGTTTTGTTTCTATTTTCCCCTGAGAAGTAATGAATTTTTGCCAGAGTCCTGTGGTTGAGAGATTTTGCTGCTTCTACTTCAAACTTAGATTTTAGATTTTTTTTTTCTCTGTAAAAATATATGCAAGGTTGGTGGGCTTTGTAGCTCCCCTATCCCTCACTATTTTGCTATCTTCAGTCACCTCCTTGCTAGTTGTGCCACTAAGGAAGATGTTTTCCAGTCTCTTATCCTACCCTAATGTTTCTAAGGAGCACATGGTAAAGGCTTAAGGAGAAAAGTTTAAGAGTGGGTGGAAATTCTTTGACTTGAGCCCTTGTTCTAAACTAACTCACTAGCCCGTGGTTGGCCTTTAAAATTTTAACTAATTTCTTGTTACCTACTTAATGGTGACCAGATCTTTTTCCCACACCTTGCCAAAGTTGAGGCAGTTTGCACGTCCACTTCTTCCTTGAATAGCCTTGTCTCTTTTAGGAATGTTGTTTGCTTAGTTGCCTTACAACCTGTGTGATTTTTCAATTTACCCAGTGTTTCTCATTTTTTTGTGAGGGAGCATCATTTGTAGCTGCTTATATACCAAGCAGAGGTAGAATTCCCATTCATAAATTTTAAATTTCTATTTTGGCAATACTGTAGGCTTGAATTTATATTCTCTGTACCTCTTTTAAAACTTTTAACTCACCCCTGTGAGATTATGCCAGAAAATGACCCCAGAAGGTACCATTCTAAGCAGTGGTTAAATACAGTTGGGGCCTGTCTTCACCAAATATGTGGTCATTTGGTAACAACATTATCGGGGAATGGATTTTGTTGCATTTAATTGAGAAGAAAAGAACTTTAGGGGTATTTTCTGTGAGAATTATGGTATAATCCCACTTACTCATGAATAAATTTCGTGTTTCACAGACTCACTAGGTCTCCAAAGGCATCTTCCTACCACCCAGGTTTATTCTTCCCTGCTACATCGAGGATCCTAGATATTCTTTCTAGTCCTTTGTAGCCATCTCTTTCCATGTGTTTTTTCCCATTACAGATATAGTGAGAATCAAATTGACTTTTTTGGGGGGGTGGGGGGTATGGGGATTGAACTCAGGTGAGTCACATCCTAGCCCTATTTTATATTTTATTTGTAAACAGGGTCTCACTGAGTTGCTTAGCACCTTGCTTTTGCCTGGCTGGCTTTGAACTCGTGATCCTCAGCCTCCTCAGCTGCTGGGATTACAGGTGTGCACCACTGCATCTGGCTCCGAATTGACTTCTGTATGCTTTTGTAATAGAGCAGTGGAATTTTAAAAACTTTTTTCCCCCCTTGGGATTGAATCCAGGGCCTTATGCGAGCTAGGCAAGCACCCTCCTACACTCCTAGTCCTTACATTCTAAAAAATAGATTAATTAAATTAATTAATTAAATTTTAAATTAACTAAATACATTAATTAAATCCATTAATTACATTTTAAAAAATTAATTTATAAATGCTAATATCTGTGCCTTATAGACCATTTGTACCTTATAAGAAAGTAAAAAATAAGAAAATAATTATCACCTAAAATTCATTGTAGAATAATTTATATCATTTGCATTCTGATTTTTTTCCAGAATAAATACATAAATTGAAAAATATGATTAAAGCTGTGACATGTAGTTTTATATTTGGCACCTAACATTACATCACAGGCTTATTCTTGCATTATTAAAAAGGTCTTAAACATTTACAGTACTACATATGTTACATTGTTATGGAGTCCACTAGAAAATGTCTTTTCTAATAACTATTTCCCTTTGTATTATTTGTATTGGAAAGTTAGGTTTAATTTGAAGCCTATTATAAAAGTTTTATACCATTTGTAATTGTATTACAATGCATAGGGATATTTAGGTTTCTGATTCTGTTTTTACAGATAGGTTTTATGTTTTGGATTCCATAACCCAATGACTTTTCTTCTTTAATTTCAGAATTCCATACGACATAATCTGTCACTGAACAAATGTTTCCTTAAAGTGCCTCGTTCAAAGGATGACCCCGGAAAGGTAGGATTTATTTTGGTGAAATGAAGCATATAAAAGTGGAGCAGACAAAACTCTAAAAATGTAATTTTTTAAAAAAATATTTTTTGTTGTAGGTGGACACAGTACCTTTATTTATTTATCTTTTATGTGGTGCTTAGGATTGAATCTAGTGCCTCAAACATACTAGGTGGTGCTCTACCTCTGTGCCACAACCCTAGCTCATAAAAATAGAATGTTAAAAATTGGAGGTAGGCAGAGTTAAGAAGATAATGTAGAGCAACTAAGGAAATGTGGTGCTAACAGAGAAACAACTTTATTTTAAAGTTGGAAGACTTATTATAAAATTACATTTTGAGAGTTTATCTACAGAGACTTCCCTTTTTGTTGTCTTTAGCCATGTCATACTATGTGGACTAAATTTGTTTGGTTTCTTAAGCTCAGAGTACTTGTTTGGATCATATTGGTTGTCAAGATAAATTACTAGGTTAGAATTTTGAGATGGCATACCTATTGGCAAGATGTATCATGTGTATCTTGTTCATTGATTAGCTCTAGTTGCTGGCGCAGTAACTGGTGGCACAAGGCTAGGCTGCTTGTATTTTTTTTGAGGCTAATTGTCCCTGAAAGAATTGTTTCTAAAATGTAAGGCTGGTTACATAAGCACACTACTTACTCATCCATGTCCTAGAGGTGGTATACTTCCTTTGTTATAATATAGCCTTTACTGTCTTTTTCTTAATCTATCATTGCAGCTGTGATTCACCTCATTCAAGATTCACTGTGAGGAACGTCTTGAAGTTTCCCAGACATGTTTATTATTTGGTTTCACTGCATCTTTGCCTTTATTTATTCTACTCCTTGTCTTTCAGGATTGAGCTGTAACATTACTTCTGTGAAATATTTTTTTGTTTCCTTATACTTCAACTGAGTTTGTTGCTCCCTCTTTTATGTTCCTGTTAAGGTCATCATCATTGCCATTATCATTGTCCTAACTTATCTAATTTGGAGCTTACTGTCTCCAATTTATAGTAACTTTCACATAGTAGCCAACAGTCTTTCAAAAATGTTAATTAATCATATAGTTTCTTTCCTCACCCCCACCTTTCTTTTTCCAAATTGTTCATTAGTTATCAAATACTTATAGGTTAAATACTAAATTTATGAGGGTGTAGGATCACGTGTATCTGGTTCATTGTTTAGCCCTAGTTGCTTGCACAGTGACTGGCAGCACTGAGGAGACACCCTTGTTGAATATATAAATTGTATTTTGTGCTAGACTGTTAGCTTCTTAACAGTTAGAGATGGAGAGGTATTCATTTCTGTCTTAATATTGTCACTTCTATGTAATAAACATTTTACAGCACTTTCAGTGATCTGTTCTATCAAATAGTTTTCATTAAGATTGAATAGATTATTACTGTAATAGTCTCAAGTTTTGTCCATACTCATAACTCTCTTAAGATTGTGAATATGAATTGGTGGTGAAATTTTTCTTTACTTTAAATAGACATTATTTAAAAAATCCATTAATTTCTTATATCTTACATTGTAATTTTCTGTAGACAGTGTATATGAATTAGATTAAAAAATATTTTTAAAAAATCAAAGATTTATTTTATTAGAAATCTATGAAAGCACTAAGTAGATTCATAAACATTTGATTTTAGTTTGATTTTTAAATTAATTAAAAACCAACACATGAATGTTAACTATATTATTTACTAAATTTTAACCAGTTCAAGAGTTTTTAGAAAATTTGTGCCATCAGGCTGATTTTCTTTTGTTCAAAAGTTAAAGTTTTTCTCCATTTTTAATTAAATAGTGTCACAGGATAAGGCAGATGTGGAAATATGTTATTCTTTGAAACTATTCTTCTGGAATTAGGATTATCTCAATAATGTGCAGCTAAAACAAATATAAAAATAAATTGTATCATGAGTTTTTGCCATTAGTCTTTGATTTTAAAGTTTTGATATATCAAAACAGCCTTGTTCTCATTGATTCTGGTCTTAATGAGTGAATATCATTTTTGGTCTACAATGTACATTTATAGTACGAGAGTCACTTATTTTTGGTCTCAAAGTGAGGAGTATTTAGTCATTGTTCTTGTTGATTTTGGTCAGAAATAGATGTGAATTTGCTATTTAAAAATGCATAAAATATATTCATATGAGTATAGTCATTTTTCTGGTACCAGGGATTGAACCCAGGGGTACTAAATCACTTAGCTACATCCTTAGCCCTTTTTCAGTTTGAGACCGGGACTCACTAAATTGCTTAGGGCTTCACTGAGTTGCTGAGGCTGGCTTTGAACTTCCAATCCTCCTGCTTCAATCTCCCAAGTAGCTGGGATTGTAGATGTGCTCCACCATGCCTGACTTATTTTTTATATCTCAATGAGATTTCATTTCAAAAGAAAAAAAAGTTTTAGTGCTTTTCAAATGCATTGAAAGCTTTATGAAAGTGGAAACAAAGGCCAGAAGATGGGTTCTTGCTGAGGTTCACTGTGGAATTAGGACCCAGGTGTACTGATCAGACTTACTTGCCAGTCATAGAAACCCAATATAGACTACCTTAGATGGAAAAATACTTCGGGAAGAACTGGGACCGGGTTCTGAAGTTATTTTATCAGAAATATCTCTTTGTATCCTTTAGTTCTGCTAACTTCTCTGATGACTTCCTTTTCCTACTCAGTTAGTGACAGAGATGCATCAACAGTTTCTGGCTTATATTACCAGTTTAGTAACATCAAAAACAATGTGTATCCTGGATCCTTCACCCTGACCCCCAAATCACCCGGAATTACAGCCAGAGCTTGATTTCTTTGTAGACTAGTACTTTTTCCATTATACCAATCTTCCCTGTGAGAGAGACCAAAATGTTAGTTAAGTTTTGGTACTTATGAATTGTTTTTTCTTTTTGTATTTACAGTGTTTCCTGGCATTTGAGGAGCTTTTCCAAAACCATCCTCACCACAGTGGGAGAAAACCATTGAGCCAAGGTGGGGTGGGAGTAGAGTTTGATCTTGGGTATGGGGTGGACTTTAACCTCTTAGGATTTTTCCTGATGCAGCCATGATCCCAGTAGGTCCAAGAGGTAGAAGTAACTCATAGCATCTTCTTCCCTTTATTTTTATGGTATAGCTTCCTGTTCGTTGTTTTATGAGAGAGGTATAAAAACCAACGTAAACTTGAAGTATATTGTTGAATTATAGAAGCTTTTATATGGCTACTTTTTCCTTGCTCAATTTTTCATGAAAGAAGGTTTTATTATAAAATTTTGCTTTATATTTGGTACCCTTTCATGTACATTGATGATCTTAAATCCATTTTTCTCTATTCTTTGAAACTTATTTCAAGTAGCCATATTATTGCTTTTTTTTTAAACAAGAAACACAAAATTAAATTATATTTTGCGTCCATGACTTCTGAGTTTGAGGGACAGATTTATTTATTTCTTCTCCCATTGATTACAACTCTTTTCTCCCTAAGTAAATATCCTACAATCTGTCTCTGTTTTAAATGTCTTATCTCCTCTTCTCATTAGTTCTGTTTTCTCTGAATTTTTTGGGGGGAAGGGGTGTTATTCTTTAATTCAGAATTATGCTTCTTAATTATCTTAAAGGTAAATATTTTGCCCACATTATGGAAAAACAAATCATTAGCGAAATTTAGTTTAAAAGAAGAGTTCTTTCTCTCCTTCCCAGCTTAATTTTTCGTAACCTTGTTCCCTTTTATTCAGTTGAGAAAAATGATATATATATTTTTGAACTAAAGGAAGTAGTTTCAACAGTTGTATTAAGTAATTGTCAACAGTGAGAAGATAGTAAGACCTTTTTTTTAAAGACTGCCTGTTGAGGGCTGGGGGTGTAGCTGAGTGTTGGAGCACTTGCTTAGCTCATATGAGGCACTGAGTTCTATCCTTAATATGAAAATAAAAAATACTGTGTCTGTCTACCCCCCCCAAAAAAAAAAAAAAAACTTTCCAATCTTGGGGAGATAACTACAATTAATTCATAGTAACGAAAGTCCCTCTGCCTTTGTTGTGGGGGTTGGTGCTGAAGGGGGGAGTTCTTTCTTGTCTGGGAATGGGAGATTATAAAGGTGAAGTAATTGAAAATTGGTGTTTTTTGGTTTGTGAGGACACAAACATACTGGCAGAGAAGTAACTCGAAAGTTTCGAGATTTTGAGATCGTGGTTTTTTTGTTTGATTGATTCTCTATCCTCCAACCTTATAGTTGATTCATTGATTTCTTTGCAAAAGAGATTCTTTTTAGGTATATAGTATTGTACTATACTTATTTACAAATTATCTATTATTCACTGATATCATATTTGGATCACTTTATTTTAAAAAGGTGAAGGGAACATTATGGTTCATGCTTGTAGTCCCAGCTACTTGGGAGCTGGGGCAGGAGGAGCACTTGAGCTAATGAAAGACTGGGCATGGTAATGCATGCCTGTCTATAATCCCAGTGAGACAGGAAGATCACAAGTTCAAAGCCAGCTTCAGCAACTTAGTAAGACCCTGTCTCAAAAAAAAAAAAAAATTTATATATATATATATATAGAGAGAGAGAGAGGGGGGGGGGCTGGAAATGTAGCTCTGTGATTAAGTGCCCCTGGGAGTATCCCTACCTGCCCTCAAAAAAGAAAGAAAGAATTAAAAGATGTAGAAAAGAGAAATTGGAGAGATTTGACAAAACATAAAATATAATGTTAGGTACTGAAGAGTGTTGCAAGGAATCATAGGTATTTATCCTGAAGAAGGAAGATAAGAGTGTAATTTTAGGGCTGGAGATGTGGCTCAGCGGTAGCGCGCTTGCCTGGCATGCGTGCGGCCCGGGTTCGATCCTCAGCACCACATACCAACAAAGATGTTGTGTCCGCCGAGAACTAAAAAATAAATATTAAAAATTCTCTCTCTC